TGACATCATTGTCACATGGCAGCTGATTGGTTCTCTCCTGTATCGGTAGCCAATGAGCTCGCTGCTCAATATTCAAATACCTTACTTTTGTTTGCTGTAGCAGTTGGCAGCGCACTTCAGATCAGCCTAAATCAACATCTAAGAGAAGTGAATGCTCTTTTAATCCATATCGCTGTGTATATTTGCGTGGTCTTCCTAACTGGATACAAAATGAGCAACCATAAAAATTTTAAACTAAGTGTCATGTTAGCAGTTTGCATTGTATGCAGTAGCGAAATATTAAGCACATTAGCAGCAGCATTTAGCATGTGTTTATACAGCTGGAGCAAAAGGCAGTTTAGAGCTTGTAATCGCTCTGAGGACACATTAATAGTAAGGCACATGAAAACAAGTTAAATAAAATAAGCATTATTTTGTATGCATTTCAACTGGAGTTCTACATACACATTGGCGATTATCCCAGTGTTCACGTTCGTTATTTCTAAGGTCAATGTTTTCATAGTGATGAGTGTGTGGTTGATTTCAGTTGCGTGCAGCGTCAGAAGCACGCGCTTATTACAGTCATATCAACGATAGTGTTGCGGGAGAAGGGAATTAAGAGTTATCGCTATGGTTGTTGCAGTTCCGAGTGAAATGCATTATAGGTGCATTATAGTGTAGTTCGGAGAAATGTGCTCGTGTGACGTATGCTATCGTGTGTTGTGTAATTCAGAAAACGGAGAAAGAACATTTATATTCTGCTTTATTTGTTCATTCAAGTCAGTCCACCCAGGAGTTTGTACACTGTAACCCTGATAACTTTATCACACGAGAGAGAAAAAAGGCATGCATCGGCTAACTTTGTCCATCTCATCATTGCACGAACACGAATTAACGAGCTGTTATGCTGCCGCTGGGACTGATGAAGTGTAGAAAGTAACAGCAGATATTAAATGACTAAATTATGATATTTACTCAGGTGAATGCTGGGGTCTTATCTATCGGATTGCAACGTATATCCATTTTGTTAATTAACATTACACATAGATTTAATTAGAGTTAAGCCAGTTGGCGTGGTAGCCCAGGCACACATAGTCGTAGGCCATTATTGTTAAGCCGGTCGGCGTGGTAGCCAAGGCTCACATAGTCGTAGGCCACTATTGTTAAGCCGGTCGGC